TGCCTGCTGCCACATTATCTCTTCATACTCTTCTGGCACAACTTTGACAAGAGTGGCATGTACTTGCGTTCTCCAGTTCTTCTCATTCCATCCCTGGTTTCAGTGGGTTTTGTCCCTACTGCTCCACCAGAGCTATTGTTGTTAAGGTATTCATGACCTGACCGACACTTAGCTTAACCAACATACAAATCTCAGTCCGCCTCTTCCTTGCCTCACTTGGCTGCAGTTGACCCAGTTGGTCATTTCTCCCTTCTCACTTCACTTTTTTCCCTTGACTGTTAGGACCCAATACTCTGGTAGTTTCCTCCTGCCCTCCTCACAGATGGCTTGCTCTTTCCCCTTCTCCTCTTGTGGATCCCTTCTTATTCTTTACCTTTTAGTGTTCTAGCACCTCAGTACTCAGTCCTTTTCAGTCTTCTGACTTTAAATACCACCTGTATGCCAACAGCGTCCAGATGTATGTCACCAGCTCAGATGGTTCTTGAAACTCCACACCATACAGCCGACTGCCGCCTCAGTATCTCCCCTTGGCTCTCAAGCAGTAGGAGCTTACCTTGTGCCACCTTCTCTCCCTCCAGCTACTCTACCTGTGGCCTACCCCTTTGCACTTGTGACCCCGCCCACATTTCCCTTTGCCCAGATAACACATTTTGGCGTCACCTTGGAGTCTTTCTTTGACGCTTCACACATTCCAACGATTTACTTTGGGGCTATTTCCAGGTTGCCTCCCTCGTGGCTACCACCTTGATATCGTCTGGCATCATTTCCTGCCCAGATTACTGTCACAATCTCCGAAATTGGTGTCTCCTTACCCTACCTTTTCCTTGCTCTAGTGTCTGTTCACACAGTGACCAAAGTAATTCTTTGAAATGTCAAGTAAGATCTGTCTTTATCGCCTCCTGCTGTCCTTGGTGCACTCTGCTGCAGCCCAAGCGGTATCTCTGCACCTAAAGTAAGACTTTTCCTACTGACTGTTTTCTCTGCCTTTCTCCGGGTGACTATGTGGGTACCTCCTTTGACACTTTGCGCCAAGATAATCTTCTCAGTGAGGAGGAGGAGGACCCTGATCACATTACTGTTGCGTCCCTGCATCCCTGTTCCCGCTCATCCAGCTCTACTTTTCAAGCATTTTGCTTATTGACTACTTTTGGCCTTTCACTTCATTCATGATTTCTTTTCACTAGTCATTACGAAATTTTAGTGGAATACATTTATCAGTCTGTTTTTTGTGTTGTGTTTATTCCGTCCTGGGTAAGAAATTCTGCAGTACACCAAGGTCATTAGATTTTTTTGGCTACAGGTTTTTTTTTTTTTTGGCTAAAGGATGGGTTAGATAAAATTAGACCTGAACAGGGATTGAGAATGAGACCTTGATTGGCGCTCCCTCCATTCCTTCCAAATGAGTAATGACCGGAGACCTCAGGTTGGCGGTCAGCCAAAATGAAGATTCTGTTCCAAAACCAGGTGTGTCTTGAGATTCTGAGAGTTGACTGCGGGGGCTCTTCCCAGGCCAGTGAGTGCTACTAATGACTGACATGACTGACGCTCCATCTAATGCGAGTCCTCACAGGGCCTACCGACCGTGGCATTTCTCAGGAGGAGCCGTGATGCAGCACATACTAGTTTGTGTGTTACCCACCCACCAGATAAAGCAAGCATTCTTTTCTATTTTTATTTTTTAAAAAATATTTCCATGTAAATTAGAATCTAAACGAGACAGTCCTTTTCAGCAGGCAAGATTCAACTGAAGTCCTGTTTTCACAGAACACATTCCATACCTCAATTGCCTCTTAGAGATTTCAAAGGCTTTTTATGTACCTGGTAATTTGGAAGAATTGCTTTTATTTTGTGGTTTCTTAGGGACTTCTAATATCTCTCTTGTAAGATGTTTGCAGATGTCAATAGCTACTAGCTCTGAGGGTTAGAGTAGCAAGATCATTCCGTTTTCACTTCTGATATCTTGCTCTCTGTTTGTGCTATTAGTTCTTTCACAGCTTTGTGAGCAACAAATAATCAGACTCTGAAGTTTGCCTGTTTTTTAATGGGATGTTGGCTGGTGTACTGTTTATTTTCTTCGATTCTTTTGCGTGGATTTTGACCAGGCCTGCTGCTGTCCGGTGTCCTAGGGAGGCTTGTCTTGATGTCCATTTCACACATTTGCCTGCACCACACCCCACGCTCTTCATGTGAAGCTTGTGGAGCTGCATTTCTTACCTTTTGTTCACTGTGTCAAGTCAGCTGACATGCTTTTGCATCTCTGCGGTGTATTAGAATAAGACAGGTAAGGCCCACAAATTCAGGTTCTGTGAAAAATCATCAGGGGCTGCAAGATAAATATTTTGTGCAGTTCATTTAAAAAAAACGTTATTCGGTTAGACTGGCGTGATCACACTCTGTAAATAGATTGTCCTGTATTGTTTGGTGGCTATGAATACATGGGTATCACTTTATTCTTGGGGGCTGATTCTGGTAACCATTGATTTTTGTCTTTATTAAAATCCTGTTCATGACCGGCACCTCGCATCTTCTATCTAGCAAGATTCTCACTGAGTCACTGAGCAGCATCATAAACTCTTATTTTAGGGCTTATTTATTATACTTAGCTCTGCAGTAGTGACCCTGTTTTCATTTGGCTGCCCGGACGTTTATAAAATATCCATAATCATATCCATCTGTCTTTGTGTTACCTAACTTGCCTCCTTCTCGCCCAGGCGCCTCTCCTACGTCCCATTTTCTTTGTTTCCTGTAGGAAAATCTAAGTGTTACATTATTCCTTTCAAGATCATCAAGTTTAGGGCCATGTCTCATTTTTTATACAGAGATCATACCTCCCCAGGACTTGGATTCGAACCTGGCCATCCCAGCTCCTCGTGTGCAGAGCGTGCATTCCCACACGCTCTCTGGGGCAAGGAATGGAGACTGGCCTTCATCTCTGCAGCTGCCTTAACTTCCTAGAAGAGCGGGGAATGATGCTGCTGTGTTTGTTTTTAAACCAGAGGAAGCAGAAGATAGTTGGATGATGAATATGAAGCTCAAACTCAAAGAATTATCTATATTCTCATGTGAGATTTTCCTGGTGATACCAAGTAGAAATGTTTAAATGTTCTGAATTCTTGGGCTTTGTTAGGGCCTAGGAGGAAACAACTATTCTGATTCCTTTACCCTCAACTTTGTCATTAGGATTCATTTATTTTTTTTTTTTTTTAAATTTTTTTTTCATAGAGGCATGTTTTTATTTATTTATTTGTTTGTTTGTTCTGTTTATACATGCACTGGGTACAGTCAGAAGCACGAGAGGGTGAGAGAATTCACCAGAGCCAGAGCGGGGAGCAGAGCAGGCAGAAGGACCGAAGTACACTGCTGAGGGGAGCAGCGGGCTGCAGGAGAGGTCTCCGCGCCATGTGGGACCCTCCTCCGGTGGCCGGGGAGCAGCCGGGGATCGAACCAGTGCCGCGGAGGCCGCGGGCAGCTTCGCAACCCAGTGCTCAACTGCTGCGCCACCAGGGAGGCCCTCATTAGGATTCATTTAAATATGAATCCTAGGTATCAAAATGTTCTTTTGGGGGCACATTTGGCTATTTAAGCAAACAAAAAAATTGAATACATTTTTGAGTGTAGATTGGATCATACAGATACTGTGTTTTGTCAGGTGGAGGCCAGGGAGGCTAACCACACAGGATGAGGAAGCAACATGGTGCTCCTAGGGCTGAGTTAGCCCTAGATTTTCTCCTTTGTTTGTTTCCCACCCCCGCCCCCCAATGTTATCTGGGTCCTGGAGAGTCCCAAATCTGTGGCTGCAGTCCTGTTCTTCTGGCATTCTTATTCTTTGTATAGCATTCTGAATATTTCATCTGTAGTTATTCCGCCAACTATTATTTATTGAGTGTGTGCTCTAAGGGAGGTATTGTGCTTGACTCTAGTCACAGAGAACAATGGAAATGGACAGGTTCTCTGTTGTCATGGAAATTAGGGCACATTGGGAGAGACCTTAAAGTAGTCACACCAACACCTCCCTCTTTCTTGTGTATATCCTCCAGCCTTCCATACCCCTTCTTGTGCCTGTCATCATGACTTAGAATATTGTGATCTTTCTCTTTTATCCCCTCTGCCCTCTTCCTTGTTGTTCCTTTTAATTCATTCCTTAAAATGGTTCTCATTTCTCTTATGTTGTTATCCATTCACACTTTTAACACTGTCTACACCCTCTCTATCATCTCCAAGTTACATTGCTTAAAGGAATAACCTCAGTAGGAGAAGCCTGGGTCCCTTGAGATGAGAGAGAGAGAGGGCGAGACATTACACTGAGATATTTATTCTTCTCTCCTTTTTGCCTGCTTTGCTTTTTTTGTTTTCATGTCTAATTTTTGTCTTGGTTCTTTCCTGTCTTGCAAATTCACATTAAATCCCACCTTGTTAGTGAAACATTTCCTGATTACCTTTTTCTTTCCAGTTCCTTGAACTCTTGTAGCACTTAGTCCCTAGTCTCTGTTACGTAATTTAGCACGTACTACTTTGTGTTGCTAATTCATATCTGCAGGATTTTTTCTATTACTGTGTAAGGTTGTAAGAATTTTGAATCCAGGATTATGACATATATAGAGTGCTTAGTATGGGGCTAATAGTTGGTTGGTGCTTAATAAAGACTTACAAGAATTCAATTTATAGCACATCTATAAATATTTCAAGGTTCATAATACTGGGCTTCTTTACTGCAGTTTATACAGAGATTTCCTTGTTGATGAACAGTTAGGTTGGTTCCAGTTTGGGTAATTACAGACATTCCGTTGCTTATCTTTGAGCCTGTCATGGAAAAAAAAAGATTATCTTGCTCCCTGATAAACATTCCAACTAAATATTTATTACTCATTTACTATGTATCTAGTACTTTGGGATCCTGGGAGATTGAGAACTTATTTCAGATGCATTCCAGTATCTTGTTCCCTTGGTTATGTTCTTTTTCCCCCATTCATTACTGATGTGATATTTTCTTTTGCTTTTAGGATAAGAACAAGAAGCTCCGTCCTTTGTATGACATTCCTTACATGTTTGAAGCCCGGGAATTTCTTCGGAAGAAGCTTATTGGGAAAAAGGTATGTGCTGACAAACATTTACAAGTGGTTGGGGAATACTTTGAGCTGGGCCCCAGTGCTAGAATACGTGAGACTAGCAGATGACACCCCTCCACCAAGTCAAGTGGAATTACTTTGATATGAGGAAAGGTGTGCCTATTTATTAGGAAGTGGTATCCCTTGGGAGAGGTTTCAAATTGGGGCCCTGACCACAGTGTGATTGCCAAAGTTCTCACGACATGTTCTTTGCCGGGTCCAGGCTCAATTCCAGTTTCAATAATTGCATATTGCCCTGAGCTCCATTCACATGGCTCTCTTGTTCTCTCTGGCCACCTCCATTTAAAAGACCAGTGCTGTGGGATTTACCAGTGAGGAAAGGTTTCTGCTTTTTTTCTCTCCTAATATGGAGGAATAGGATCTCTATCAAGAAGAGGGGCTGTCCTGGAATTGGAGCCTGCCTTCTGAAATTCACCATAGTGTGAATGCCATTCCACTTCTGACTTGTCAGATTACCTACAGCTTCCTCTGCAGGTGCTGTGAAAGCCAGGTCGGGAGGGGAGTGCATGGTTTCCTGGCAGTTCCTGGGGCCAACTGTGTAGCACAGCGGCTTTCTATTCTAGCTCAACAGCCCAGTCTCTCTGAGTGCATTTCCTTGTATTCTGTTACCAGCAGTTCTGTGAGGCTGAGAATGAACCTCTGGACATTCACTTATTTTCCCTGATCTTCTCACCCTAAATACCCTGGGCAGTACTTTTTGTCCTTGATAAACAGAGGAAATGAATGGGATCAGGGACTTGATGGTAATTGAGGGGAGGGACTGTGATTTGTCTTTTCCTTACTTTGTTTGTTTCACTGGGGATTCTTCTGGGAAGCAGCATATTTTGGGTTGATGCTTTCAATTTTATCTTTCGAAAGGCAAGGCCATTCTGCTCTGTGTCTGGCCATAACACTTTATTTTTAGTTATTTTTATTTTTTTTTAAAGATTTATTTTTAATTATTTATACAAAAACTGGGGTACAGGCCAGATTCGCAGGAGGGTGAGAGGATTCACCAGAGACAGAGCAGGGAGCAGAACAGGCAGACTGACGAAGTACACTGCTGAGGGGAGCAGCGGGCGTGACAGGAGAGGTCTGCAGCGCCATGTGGGACCCTTGCTGGTCAGCCGGGATCAAACTGGCACTGCAGAGGCTGCGGACAGCTTCACAATGCAACGCTCAACCGCCTGCGCCACCAGGGGATGGCCATAACACTTTAAAATCACATTAGTGTTCTCTATCTAAATGCAGATTTTGAAATTACTGGTAATGTGTCAGGTTGGATAAGGCTCTAGTTTTTTAATGAAGGCCAAAGTTGTGTATCATAAACATAGCCAGTATTATTATGCTGAAGTCACTAGAATGATCAGTTGTAGCAAAGATTTTGAAATTGGGCATGAAATGAAATTGTTAATTTTGAGTTAGAAAAACCAAAGTGGATTCCCTAAAATGAGTATAAAATCTCCTCGTGTTCTTTCAGAGAACAGGCTCATTTGTCATTGTATAAAACTTGACAGAATGTTGTATTCATTCCTGAAGTATAGTGCGAATGATGGCTTTAAGCCTCTTTCAATTTCTAGATCTCCTGTTATCTGATGGAATGTCTAACAACTCTGTTTCACCAAGTTGATATATCACTCATTTACTGGCTCATAAACAATAGCAGAGAGATAAACAAGGGATTCCCTCACAAATGTGCACTTCCACTGAAATCCATCCAAAATCACATAGGCAGGCACAGGAGTGTGTGTTTGTTTCCAGGCAGCCAGTGGTGTAGCCTGAGTCAGGGCACCCACCTGGTTCCTTTGACTGTTACCCACCCTGATTCCATGTCATCCCTGGGGGCAGAGATCACAGCTTCCTGCAGCAGCTGCTGAATGGTCCTGGAAGGTTAGACCAGGGCTTTGCTCGCCCTATACCACTCCCCACACTTTGTAAAGTCCTCTATCTCAGGATAAAAGAAATGACCTCAACTGTCAGACTTCGGGTAATTCTTAAGCAATTAGATTCCTTCTTGGTGGGAAAAGCCTCGTTTACTGGTTTCTCTGCATCAGAGCTGATTGGATTCTATTTGTGCTGAGCCCAAGTTTTGTTCCCCATGGTGACATCGTAAAAATGATGAATACGGTATCCCTGCGAGGGAGTAGGATGCAGCTCAGCTCTGCTGGGCTGGAACATTCCTGATGCAAACTGCTTTTCCTGACTCACCACCTGAAACCACTTGCCTGTCTTCTGAGCCTGGCAGTTGCGACAGTGAACACCCATGTGCTCTGGAGTCTGGGAGCAGGCAGGGCACTTGCTGCCTCAGGGGGTGGCTAGCACATCATTGCACATTTCTGCCAATTCCCGTCAGACCTCTGCAGCTGTTCAGCGTGGCACATGGTGATTAAGAGGCACCGAGAGGGAGCATGTGTGCCTGTGTGCACGAAAGCTGATTAGGGCCGCCTGTCACTGGGTAAGCAGGATAATAGAGGTAAAACCATCTTCTCTACTCAGACTCTTACTTGACCAGCCCAGAGAGGAGAGTCTATAGTTAAAAACAGTTTTGAAGGGGTTTCTACTATGTGGATAAAAAAGATTGAAGGCAAACTGCTAAGGACCTGTGTTAGATTCAGTGTCCTCCATTTCATTTGCAGAAATTCATTTTGATTCATTTCCAAGATTTCATTCTGGCGCTGAAAGCCTTAATGAGAGGAACCATGCACCTCCCTAGCTTTTGTCACCTGGGAGAAGGATTTGCCTTCCTACTTGGGGTCTTTAGGAGAATTCGGGATAGTACTGGTCTTTCATGTTTTTTTCAGGTTGCAGGACAGTAAGGTGTGGACAGTAAGGTATGTAGTTTGTAACAGGGTTTTTTTTTCTGGGTCCTTCATTTTTGGTTCTGCAGACTTTCCTGCTTTTTTCAGTCCATTATGCAGATTTGGGTGATACTAGGTTAGATGTGGCATCAGGGTTCTGGTCTCCAGAAATGAAGATGTGCAGCTGCTACAGTGTGTGTCGGTCTGTGTTTTCTGGTTTGAGGGCGACTCGAAGGATACGTGTGTATCCAGGATGTGTCTCAGAAGCTCCCTGAGTTGCCACACTGCCAACACCCCCATCCCCGTTTATCATCTGCCATCTGTTCTTTCACTAAAATCTTGACTAAGGAATATTCACGCTAAAGAACTGTCTTGCTAATATCTTCGGGTTCTTCATGACCCTTGTAACATAAGATGGAATTCATGGAAACTTCAGCACATCTTTTTTTTCCAGAATGATATCTATCCAAGAAGTGTATAAATGTGATCTTGATGCCATCCTAAAAGGATCAAGAGCTACAGCCTGCTTCTAATAGCAGGAAGAGTTTTTTTCTATGTGTATAGACTTTTTTTCTTAATGCTTAGAGCAGGTCAGCCCATAGAAAACAAGAATTTGTGCCTTAATTATTTTATTCTCCTTGGAATAAGATACTAATGGAGATCTAAACTGGGTTTTTTCCCCAGACTATCTCAGAATTTCTAAAGTAGAATTTGAAGATATTTTTAATCCACATAGTACAGAATTTCCAAATGACATATGAATCACTGTCACTGCTGTCCCTTAATGGTAGAATTTCTGTCACCATGGGAACCCATTGTGTTCAAAGTTGTAACTTGTTTGGACAATTGGAGGGTCAAAAATGGTGCAAGAGATGGAGTCACAAGAAGCCAGAGTACATTGAAGATTCAGCCCTGACAATAGATGCAGTCCAGGCTTTCCTATTTCCAGAAACCTCTGCCCCCAAATACATGTCTACCACCTAAATATTTTTGCCACTGTTTCTATTGAGTAAGCCATTTGGGGTTAAGACTTGTGTGCAAAGTAATGGCTGACTTTGGTTTTCAAGCCATTGAATTTTTTTTTAACTAGACTGATTCCTCTAGGCACTTACAATTGGGCATATTTCTTGATAAGTATAATACTTGGGAAGTTTTGGGGCTATTATCAATTTAGGGAATAGTTTCAAATTTATGTTGCTTTTGGTGTTCTCCTTTTGAAATATGCCTTTCCTGAGGTCCCTGTTTTGGGGGAAGATAGTAATGATCTCCTTGTGTGGCAGCCTTACTCAAAAGTATCCTCAGAATAACCTATCGGAAGATGTGGTGTCCTCCAGTGTTGCGGGAATCACACCACCATCTGTTACCATCAGAGACATCTCTGATGCTCTCTTCCGTCAGCCCTCTTGTTCCATTGCCTCACCAACTCCTGTTGTGTGTGTGGTGTATCTTCTTCCCACCGCATTGCACTGCCTTGTCTTATATCTCCATTCATCTAGAATCTTGTAGCCTTTTGCTGGCTTTCCTGCAGTCATTCTTTCTCTCTTTAGTCTACTCTCCACCTGCAGTTAAAAGGAGCTTCATAGATGACAGTCACAGCATGCTCCTCCCCTTCCATTTCTTCCCTTGGCATACAGGCCCAACATAATTTGGTTTGACTCTGCTTCTCAGATGTAACCTCAGCCCCTCCTTCCTTTTACTCACCTTCTGGCTTTCACGAGGCTTCTGTTGCTCTCTCCAACCTTGGGACTTTAGTACTTGCAGTTTCTTCTCTTTGGGATCCCTTTTAGTCCTCATCTTCCTCATTTCCCCACCCCTGTTTATCTTTTGGTTATCCTTAAGATCCAACTGAAATATGACTTCCCGAGGAAGTCTTCTGCAACCAACTCCCTGCTTCCAGTAATTTACCCCAGACCAAGTTTTGCAATTTAAATAATGTGTTTGAAAGATTGTGTGTTAATATTTATATCTCTTTTTAAATGTATTATATTTGAGTGATTAGAGTCCACACCAGGGCCTATGCCATAGTGTTCAGAGGGAAAGTTGGGCCTTGAAGGGAGGGTAGAAATCATGCTACCAGATGTGTCTCAGATTAGCCACATGAGCAACAAATGGGGGTAAAATTGCCTCTTCATTTTGGGACTTCCATATCGGTCTGCAAATGGTTGATATTTATGTAGTGATACTGTT